TTAAAAAAGACATTTTTTTTTCAAAACTTTCTGTAATTTCTCCTAATTATAGTAAAAAATAAAAACCCCAGCGGTGATTAAATACCACCAAAATAAAGCCCTATCTATCCCCTATAAAATTCATTTCAGTACAGCGTTGCATGACGGAATAAACTTCAGTCAAAGTACCGCAGTGCTGAATACTGAAAAATGGCCTGGCCAGGAAGGGGGTCTAAACACCTGGTCTTGAAGTGGTTAAAGGCTTACTTTGCCTTCAAACCATGTTTCATGTTAGACCCATATTTAGGGTCTAACATGAACGATGGTCAGATCGCAACCCCTCTGACCCTCCTTCCACCCCCATAGACTCTAGTTCAACCAGCACTAAAAGCTACATTCTCTTAAGATGTTAAAAAACTGAAAGGTTTGAGGGAGTTTTGTTTCAAATTATTAACCCTGTGTGTACTGTGCTGGCAGATTTTAATAAACTAGATGAGAAGGACTGTCCTAACAAAGGGTTAAAGGACCCAAATACATTCAGGGGGATTTATTAAAACTGGAGCAGACAGAATCTGGAGCAGTTGTGCATGGCAACCAATTGGCTTCTATCTTTCCTTTTCAAAGCGTAACTGAACAAACTAAAGAGAGATGCTGGTCGCCATGGGTAACTGCTCCAGATTCGGTCTTCTCCAGTTTTAACATATTCCCCTCATTTTATGTTAATGAACTTAGGGTTAGTATAAAAACCTCTCCATCAGTTCCTGGTCAGCTCACAGACATCTATTCTAACCACTAGAAGCTGTCTGTAGAGTCCTATGTGTAATCCTGCGCCAAAGAAACAGCTAAAACGGTAAGAAATCTTTATTATTTTTAGCTATGCTATGTAAATGGGAAAACATTACAAACATATAGAGGGGGTTTCTCAAATCTGGCTGCAAAAGTTGAAATACCCTTCAAACTCATATTTTAGCCAACATTTAGTAATTCAAAGGATTTACAAATGTATTCAGTAAAGCTGTACGAAGTGCAATAATGCATAGCAACCAATGACATTTTACTTTGCTAATGTCACTGAAAGATAAACTGTGACTGATTGCTGTGGGTTAGTGTTGATTCGTTTTTCTGTGTTATATAACACATGTTAATAATACTTACCTCAACAGTCCATAAAGCAGATCAATTGGTAATTGAAGGTTTTGCATCATTTTCTCTGCTGCTGCCATTCAGTTGAGTTGGTTACTAAATTAGTAGAGAATATTTACTTAGCAAAAAAATGTAGTCTTCGCAAAGTGAATGAACGGAAACTCACTTTGAATACATGATTGGAAGATTAACATTTGACCTTATTCACTGTACATAGTGAACATTTTCTACGCCTTTAGTAAATCAACCCCATTGTGAAACAGGTCAGAAAAGCTAAAACTACACTTCTTCATTCCTCTATTGAAATGAACAGAAAACTGGCTGAATGGTGGCAGATGTAAAGATAGAGTCAAAGAGACCACCATAGCCCATTGATCTGTCCTTTTGTATGTTGGCATATTTTCCCTTAGTTTAATGAATAAGATGAAGCTCTGCTGACTTTCCATCATCCAATCATATGCAAGCAAAAATTTATTTTTTCCTTGCTCACGATTGGGTATCCTTTGGGAAGTGAATTTTTACCTCATTCACTAAGCTAAGGAATAATTTTCTTGGAAAGTAAACAAAGTGAACAGCCTGTTTGAAATGAACCCCATGGTTTCAGATTACAGCCTATCTAAATCCAAAAACAGAAATGTAATATATTGCAGCTTGCCAATGTGGTGGCTGCATTAGTTTTATTTTTGGGACCTTTTTCCTTTATTTTTACCCCATGACCCTGCTAGTAACACACTTCCCGTCTTAGGGTGGCTCCACTCTGTGAAGGACCATTTGAGCCACCCTTGGACAGCAGTATAGGCTACTCAAGGAGAGGGTGATGTTAGGAGCACTAGCAGATTTAGATGGACTCGACTAACACGTTAAAGAAAACTCCAGCTAACAATTTTTAATTAGAAAAAAGATAGAGAATAAAATCTAAACTGATGAGCGGTAAAAGCTTTTAATGCGTCACCTATGGCCAATTTTGGGTAATGTAGTTTTTTGAGGTTTCGCGCGCGGGCGCAATTTTAAGGCTTGACATGTGTGGTGTCTCTTTACCCGACTTGACCCCGTCTTTTATATTTTACCAAAAAATTGGGTAATAATAAATGTTTTAGAATTTATTATAGGGGAAACTTTTTTTAAAAATGTTCTGTAATTTTTCCTTAATATATTCAGAAATAAAAACCCCAATGGTGAACAATTACCACCAAAATAAAGCTCTATGTGTCCCCAAAAAAGGGTATAAAATTAATTTCAGTACAGTGCTGCATGACGGAATAAATGTCAGTCAAAGTACCGCAGCGCTGAATACTGAAAAATGGCCTGGATGGTAAGGGGGTTTAACACCCCGGATGTCAACTGGTTAAAAATCAATGCATTTAGTCAAAACCCTGCATGGAATTTGTTTGAACATTTTTTTGTCACTTGTATGTTACATACATATTGATACAGTTCAGGTGTTCAAATAACATATTGATCACAGAATAAACAATGCTGTAACAGCCCCTATTGTGGCTTATCTTAAGTGATCCCTTAAAAGGTGTTTTAAGGGACCACTTAAGATAAGGGGCGTTTCACCAGTGGCTTCGTCAGGGGTCCCAATATGGATCTAACAATGAAGAAATTACTTTGTTTAGACATACCTTGAATTAGAATCACAGACATTTGAATAATTAGGCAATAGCAGGTTTGTATAGGTGGTCTATTTTGAACACATTTTTGCATACAGTCAGTCTTCATAGGTCTAATCATTAGGTACTCACCATGCAGGGTTAGTTTGTGAAGTGAGGGAGACACTCGGAGGATTGGGAGAGTGGAATCAAGATGACCCCACCGCCACCCAAAACGATCTCCTTTATTGTCACACCTGGGACCTCAGGGTTACAAGAGGAGAAAGGGCAACCTGTCGTTCAGCCGACTTCACTAGAATGCTTTGTCAAAGGTGGAATATAGTGGGAGGAGGCCCGACTGTGTGGTAATATAGTCCTCTTAGGTCTGCCTGTTGGATAGAGGGAGTAGCGTATGTGTATATTCGTTGTTATCAATTTAGACTGTCAAACTCCTAGTCTAAGTCCCATTAAGTGGGTCCAGCGGTGGTGTCCAGTGTGTGTGTATTCTGTTTGTTTTAATTGTTTCTAAAATCCATCTCCTAGGTTATGTGAGGTCATCGCTAGGTTACTAGGATGATGCTAGTACATGTCTAGATTGGCATTGTGTGTATATGCTTTTGTGGTTAAACTATGAATCGAAGTTTCCATACCCAGAGAGGGGGTGGAAACGGCCACGGAGGAAGATAGGGGAGTACATAATTAAATAAGAGGGGAGGAGGAAAGTGGCAAGATAAAAATATAAATAAGAATTGTGGTGACGAAATCAAATATAAATAACAAAATGGAATCAAAGCCAAACGTATATGTGAAAAAGTGACCAGTGGAAGTCAAAAAAGATAGGATGCCACATCATCAGCCAGGGGTGTGTACATTTCTCACAGGATGTGCATATATTAATGTCATGATTTTGTTATGTGGAGGTCATTCATTGATTTAATCCCTAGTGAGTGTCTTTTTGTATTGATTTTTTGATAGGTGAAAAAAAATATATATAAAGTGGTTTACATAAATTTGATATCCATTTCCCCTTATTATTCAATGTGTTTCTCCATTATTCCCTTCACCATACAGAGTCATTAGAGATATCAATACAGGGGCGTATATCAGGAGATCCCCTCTTTTCATTAACCCCAGATTCCCCCGTGTCCACATAATTTAGCAGCAGAATAAACCATACCCCCAACGGCGGCGATCTCTTACTTCTATGTCCCACCTTCTATGCATTACATAACCCTAACCATTGCACCCTGGGCGTTATGTACCCTTGACCCATGTTTCATGTGCATTACATACCACTGCACTCTCTGGGGTCTATTTACTCAGCTGCCGTAGGCAGCTGAGTGAATGACCGACCTGAAGTGAAGTGAGCCGAACACTGTTCGGCTATTCACTTCAGGCTGGTACGGCTGATTTCAGCCGTACATCGGCTTTCTTCACATGCTCAGCATGTTCGGCCAACCCGAAGTGCAGAAGGAGTTCGACTCAGCCGATCCAACATCTGGATCGGCTGAGCTGAACCTCCGGCAGGCTACCCACTGCTGTGTGGCCTATTCTTAAAGATGCCGAACAGCAGTGAGTGAATAGCCGATCGGCTGTTCTGCTCGGTCCCTCAGAGGGAGAACTGCAGCAGAGGGCGGGTACAATGCTAGTTTACTATTGGCTATTGGAAATTGAAATAGCCAATAGTAATGTACCAATGCTTTTCAATGGGAATGTGTTTTTTTCTATTCTGACGTTGCTCCGTGTCAGAATAAAGAAAAAAAAGACAGCAGTGTTTCTCTCCTTGGCGGCCGGGAGCAGGATACTCCGGGGGTGCCAGGGAGAGTTAGCCGTTTGGAGATCAGTGTCCCTGGTTAACAGGTAACCAGGGACGCTGATCTCTCTGCAAGTGGCCGGAGCCAGCCGTAAGATAACGTTATTAAGTGATTGCATAGTATAACAATAATATGGGATTTAGTCAAAACTTTGCCACTTACATTGTATATTTGTTTTTTAACTAAAGGACTATGCGAAGTGATATAACAATAATTAGGCCTTTATTACTGAGATAGGTTTACAGAGAAACAAAGGCTCTGAACATCTATTTACTCGAATGATCATCCTCTTGCTGCCTATTCAAAAGTGATTTTTTGCTGCAATTTTATAAAGCATAGCAAATACTAATTAGGAATTAGGGGATAAAGACGAGGATAAAAGATAAAGATTTCATATACAGAGAATGTTTGTTATTTTATCTTCTGAATGTTTTTTGTGCGTTTGGGATTAATTTGTGTTCTTGTTTTATAGCAGTTCACTTGTTTGGTTTAACTTGGCAACTGCAACCAGTCGAGAGTGAGCTTTATGAGAATGGTGTCAGCAAAGGAAGCAGAGGAGAGGAATCCATGGATACCACATACTCACCTCTTGGAGGAAAGATGTCTGATAAAGAAGAGAAAAAAGGTAAATATATATACAGCATTCACAAAGCCAGTACAGCATTACAAAATCCAGTTATGTATGTACAGCAAACATCAGCAACAAAATTTTGTAATTTTATATATATATA